GTATTACATCATCCTCATTTAAGCAGAACCCACAAACATTTGCTTTTTCCCTGTATAAAAAAAATAAATAAATAAAAGGACTCTTGGGCCAGCAGGTCAAGGGCCACCTGCTAGCAAGCCTGAAGACCTGAGTTCAATCCCCAAGACCTGAGTTCAATTCCCAATACCCCCATAATGGAAGAAGAAAGAGCCAACTCCTGTGAGCTGTCTTCTAAATTCCATGTGTGCACCATGGCAGGTGTCTTTATTCACACATAATAGATAAATAAATGCAAAAAGAATGTGACTATATTCATTAAAGTCACTGTTCCTTTGCACCTCCATACTGCCCCTTGAACAAGAAATTTAACACACCACATATGGGCCTCTGAACAATAGATAAACCGAACTACCAAGTATACTGCCTTAATTTGCTTTTGTTTGCTATGATAAAGACACATTACTAAAAGCTATCAACAGACGGACAGAACTACCAAGTATACTGCCTTAATTTGCTTTTGTTTGCTGTGATAAAGACACATTACTAAAAGCAATGTGGGTAGGAAAAGGTTTATTTGGCTTACACGTCCACATCACAGGCCATCATTCAGGGAAGCTAAGACAGGAACACAAGAACAGGAAACTGGAGGCAGAAAACCAAGTAAAGACCACAAAGGGACCTCATCACTGGCTTGCTCTTCGTGGCTTGTTCCTTACACTTTCTTATGCTTTGGAGGGCCACCTGCCCAGGGGTAAAATTGCTTGCACAGCAAACTGGACCCTCCTCTTGACAATGTGTAATCAAGAAAATGCCCCACAGGCAATATGATTGAGGTATTGTCTCAATTGAGGTTCCTCTTCCCATTTAACCTCAACCTGTGTTACAGTGACAAAAACCTAAGACCTATATCTAGTAAATATTTTAATCATAACCAACAACCCAATGAAACTCTTAAATGGCCTCAGAATGAACTAAAATCACTTTATCACTTAAAAAGACTCAGGCGCACCTGTCTTAAGAGTCAAAAAAAAAAAAATTAAAATAGTCCGTCACAGCAGAGCTAAACTATTGCTTTATAAATCACTTAAACTGCAATTTTTATCTTTAGTTCACAAATGCTTTTTAAAATAAGCCTACTATGTGTTCCCTAAATCAGAAGAGTCCATAAACAGTGTTTAACTAAAACCTACACGTTTTACAACAGATAGTCACTGACAGTCTCTACTCTGCATCTATGGACGGATCCTTAGTCTAAGAGAAGGCCATCTTGGGCACAGCTGTGTCTAGGAATCTGAGCCACACAGATTGTTAGTACTAGCTGGAGAAAAATGCCAGACTGACAGGCTGACATTTGAGAGAACTATAGTGTGGCAGAATCTGCTAAAATGATGGTTTAAAATGATAAGGAAAGCTCCAAAGTTTCTATAATGTAGCATGAATGGTGGTTACTCTTTGGTCTCTGCTATTTGTGGGTCAGATTTGTTTTCATGGCTGTAGGTCTGATACACACACAAGCATACTTCATATTTAAATGCATAAATGAATATATGTGATATGAATATGCTATACTTTTTATTCATAACAGTTTTATATAAAGTTGTACTAAATTGAAAAGGAAAAAGAAAAACCAGTAGTTGACAGAAAAATCTAGCCAAAGAACAGAATAGTAAGAGTCTGGAAGCCAAAAATACCTACATAAAGCAAGAACAAACAAAACCCAGCATGTTTTTACTGGGCACTTTTAATACTGATCTATAATGGTCATCATTTCATAGAGTTGAGAAGTACAACAACTCCTATTTATGAAAAATAACATTCTGTGATAAATTTATACTTTCCAAGAGAAATAACCCAAGCTTAAAGAACAGAATACAAAAACAAGAGAAAAGCTGCAGTTGATGAACCCCTAGGTAAACCTGCTGTTGATAGAAACAAGGTAGCCAACTGAACTTTGAAATCAGAGACAGAACTAATATGACACATAGGAAGACTCGAAAAGAACAAATTAATATACAATGACATACAATGACGCAAGCAAGAATACCCACCAACACTTAGTAGAAAATTGCCAGGACAGAAGAATGAGGTCTTTGTTACAATGTGTGTTATAACTACAAAAATAGAGATATTAAGTTTCTACTTGGGCTAGAAGATGAAATGCATCCAGCAGTGCAAATAAAGCCTCTGGAAAGGCATTCAACACATTGCTTCGGGTTCCTTTCCTTAATGCGCTTTCCTGACTGAGCAGTGTTCCCTATATGCAGCAGTTTGGTTAAAAACAGCTTGCATTTTCAACTTCCCGTAATAAAGGCCACATTTTTTAGAAATGATTAGATTAAAATAAATACGTCTTTACAGTTACAGGATGAAATTTTAAGCTGGACAGGCACCAATGCCCTGGTTCTCTACTCTTTTTCGTAAACCATATGACTTCCACATGCTGAGAATGTTTTATGCTTTAGCCTGCAGTAAAGGCTTTACATCATTTTAATGCCCCAGTGCTCAAAATGCAACAGAATCAGCCCAATGAATGCAAGGACTATTTCCTGGTGTACATGGAGTTGTTTTTTTTTTTTCTTACCATTTTCTGACTACTCAGAAAAAGTTTAACAAATGCTTTTCCCATAAATAACTTCACATTTCCATTGGAGAATATAAACAAAAAGATTTCAGGAAACGGTAGATGAAAAATACTCATTTTTCTAGATTGGAGCATTTCAATTTGACATATCTAAAATGATTATTAAACAATTAAAAATTCCATGACTATTAGAATATATTTCAGAAAAACACAAGTAAGCAACTAATATATTGTTACATGAAATTTTCTTCCAATTTTTGAAAATTAATATTTTAGGTTAAGATAAAGCTTAAAACAAGTAATTCTGAAAATCCAGGTCTTCAACAAACCAAAGGCTCGGCTTGGAACAGCGCATTCTATAGCTGAAATTCTATTCAGGTCAATTTAAATACATAATGCTCGATTTCATGCTAACAGTTCCCTTATCTGTGTGAATGATCAACAGCAGAAATTTCAAACCAAAGGCTAACTCCACCAGACAATCCCAGTGTATTTCTGTGACTTTCAGATGCTATGGAATCTACAAGCCCCTTCCTGATAGGTGAAACATTCAAGAACTGATGCATTTTTGATCAAATATATAAATACATTAAACTCTCAAGTTAAAATAGAAATGATGCCAATTACTCTTGGTTATTTAAAAGTCTAGCACAAAATTATCACAGAGAGTGACTGAAGAAGTTGTATTTTGGACTGAGGGAGTACAAAATGCATGATTTTAAATTCTCCTGGTGTAATGTCATTAAATATTCAAGACTGTGAGAAACAAGAGATGTTTCATTCCAACTCTAATTGAAAATTGAAAAATAAAATCAGATTTCTTAAACTTGACTTATAAGCATAATTCAACCAGATCTAGCAAGTTAGTAAGTTTAATGCAAAACACTGAGAGCCTTATGTGATAATTACTTGTGGCATAAATGCAAAAAAGCAACAAATTCGGGTCCTTTGCACTTAATGATGCATTTTATAGTGCAACCACAAAAAGCACGACCCATATTAGCACAAACTAAGCAAAAAAAAAAAAAAGGCACAGGAGGTATTATGTCCATCAGGAAGAGAAACGTTCTGTGCCAAGGAAGGAAGGAAGGAGGGGGGAGAGGAAGGAAGGGAGGGAAAGATAGGAAAGGAGAAGGCAAAGAGTTCCATTATCTGTAGGTCCCCAGAAAAAGGAGCACGTGACTATACCCTATATAACACACGAGGTCTTTTCTTAAAGCTTCAGACAACATAGCAATCACTTTTATCATTCAGCTTTACATAGCGTGTATCCGTCCTGCTAAGTGCATTCTCGGCTTCGCTCACCCAATGCTCCCTCACTCTTCCATACCAGTTTCCAAGCAAATGTGAGACAGAGCAGGGTGGGGTAGACGAAAAATCCATGCAGCGCCTTTCAGCGCACCACCAAGCCTCTTCCCCGAAAATAATTTCCAACAGTTTTTTCAACTACGAAAATAAGTCGCCCTGTCTACCTCGGGGCACACTGCAGACACTCGCCTCATTAGTAGACACAGATGCATATGCCATTTAGCACTCCAGACTCCCAACCCCACGTCCCGGAATTTTAAATAACTGGCAAGTCACTGAGCATGAAGATGACAGGCTACCTTTACTTACTGTTTCGGGGTGAAGGTGGGCGGAGGACTCCTTTCAAAGTAGCCCCAATAGTGTAACCAAAACACGGTTCCGGAATAAAATCTTAAGAGACACTTCCTTTCCCACCTTTAACTGCCGACTTGAGGAGGCAAAGATGCATCTCCACAACACATCATCGGTACAGTCCTCCTGCCGGGAGTTTGGGGTGGAGACTGGCCCAGAGGAGGGCACGGAGTGGGAGCTGGCCCCCCAGACACGAACGAGTTGCTGACGACCCCCCCTCCCTCCAAAACCCTGCACAAGGTCCGGAGAGTCAAAGTCCAGTCCGGGACTCACGCGTGCTTCCCAAACCCAGGCCGCTTATCTTCGACTCCGGCTATCTAACTTACCATCTACAGACATTCCTTCGAGACAGAGCCCAGCACCCAAGTACACGTCACAGTTTAAAACACAGCGAGACACTCCCCAAACAAACCAGCACACCTCGAAGCCACCTCACAGTTTCTCAAACTCGCAAGCAGGAAGACCCCACCTCCAGAATTCAAACCTTCCGCCGGTCCTGGAGACCGGGGAGAAGTTAGGGAGCAGTCCTCGTCTCCCTACGCCCGCCCCTCACAAACTGCCCCACCCCACAACCCGCGCACCACCGCCCCCTGGGGAGCCCCCCCCTCCCGCTTGCCCGCTCCACCCCCCCCAAGCCTGGCCACTCCAGAGACCCATCTGTGGCGCCTACTCACTTTCTCTCCCCCAAAACCCCTCCGAAACATTTTTCTCCCCCTTAAAGTAATGCAAGAAGTGAGGAAAGAGACTTAAGGCAGTCTGGTCGCAAACGACCCCACTCACCTCGGAAGCCCAGCTGAGTTCTCTGCACCAGGCTCAGCCCCCTCCCCAGCGTCCCAGAGCAAGGCTGAGGGAGGGAGGAGGAAGGCGGGAGGGGGAGGGGATCTTCACCGCAGGGCGCCCTGCGGGAGGGGCTGAGGAGGGCTCCAGGCCCAAGCAGGAAGAGCAGCGGGGGGGAGGGGAGCCCCCTATCTCCCAGTCTCCCCCTGAAAACCTCCCTTGTCTCAATCACATCAGACTGACTGTCTTTGTCTGGCTGACAACCGCCATATTGATAGCAACAGCCCCGCTCCCACCTGCTGCCGCCGGGCATCCCTGGGAGTTGTAGTTTCCGGCTCCCTAGAGAAAAAGCGTAGAGCTCAGGGTCTGAGGCCCCAGGGAACTACAGCTTCCAGCAGGCACTGCGCCCAAACGCCTTCCCACAGGGAGGAGGGGAGCCGGGAACTGGAACCGTGCGGACTACATATCCCAGAACACCATGGATTCCAGGCCGGGATGAGGGTCATGATATCATTCTGGGATGGAAAGGAAGGATGAATTGGCGGCGGCGATGAATTTAAGCGGACGGAAGGAGGCGTTTGGCGAGAAAAGGGAGGAAAAGGAAAGACGCCCACAGTTCCCATAATGCCTGCAGTAAAACTGCATTTCCCGTGATGCTCCAGAAAGTGCGTGAGAAGGAAAAACTCCAAGTCCCGCGATGCTCTGGGCGACGGAGCTGGAACCGGAAGACGCTGCCTTGCTTTGAGAAGTGAAGAGACTGGTACTGAACATCCAAAAGTCCGATATGAAACTGGTGAGTTTCCGCTCCTAGGTCAGAGGGCAAAGGTTATGCTGTATCCGTTTGGATTCTGTGGTCTCCACCTTGACTTGTGGCTGAGATAGGTCAGCAGTTAGAAAACTAAAGTGAGATGGACTGTGGCAAGCTGATTTTGCTTTGAGATTTGAATTCCCTCTTGCGTTCACCCCACACTCCCTGCACCTGTCAGGACGCCTTCATCACTGTGTGGTAGGTCCCCTTAGCCAAACATGAGGTTGAAGGTTAATTTCTTCACCCTCGAGCTAAGGATAAGGCTCTAAGACTTTGGTTTGGTCGCCTTTCTCAGCTTCCACATGCGAATTGTAACAGTTCATCCTCCTCCTTCCACTTAAAGTGCGCTTGAGTGGACTCCGTACTGATGTTGCAGAGCCAGATTCGATCTGAACAGAGAGCAGGAGCTCATTAAATGTCCTGTTACTCCTAACTGCCTTTCGAATTAAGAGAAAGCCGGTGTCGGAGGGTGCTCGTGAAGGATTTAGCCAGAGCAGCGTTGAAGCGTTCCAGTTTAGGTTTTGAGTGAAATAAGCCGTTCTAGACGAAACATGCTTCCTGGAGAAGTCACTGTGTGGCACAGCTCAAACACTTGGCATATAGGCAGACTTCTCAGCTCTTTGCTTCGAGCCATTTTACTGAGCACACCGTCCTAACAAGTTGTTTTATTCAGGCGCAATGGGATAAGTGATAGAGGAGTAAGGAGAATTGAAAGCAGGTGTAACATGCTTGCTCTCAACCTCTTATGCCCCCACGTCCTCACTGCCAACTTACAGTAGACCCCTCATAATTGCTACCTGGAGATAAATGGCCCCAATGAAGAGTGAAGCCTGTGTGATAAGTTTTATTTAAGAAGGAAACGGTGTGAAAATGCTTATTCCAGAACAACTTTTATGAGGGCAGCAGAGTTTACATCTCTTTGGCTTTACTCATAAAATCCTCTTGCTTGCTTGATATACAAGGTTAAAACGGGAAAGGACCAAATGAAAACTTAGCCTTTTGCTTTCAGAACCGAAAGCTGACACCAAGAAAAGAAAGCATTCTAATTATCACCCCCTCTCTCTTCGATTTCAAGCCACGTGTAAATCCCATAATTAACCCAATGGTTGAAAGATAAGTGATCTCTGATGGAGAGTTGCTGTTCATCCACCAGAATGGTTTCAAAAATAGTTCCTCAGTCGGCTAAATTTGTGTGCTGTGCCTGCCAAAGTGTTTTAATAAATTTCTCATGTTGTTAAGTTTTAACTCTGTGCACTGCTTTAGGAATGTGGAGTTGACTGTGGTTGTTTGTTTTATATATATTGTAGGGACTGAGCAGAATGCTTGCCTAGGATGCACATTGCATTAGGTTTGATCATCAGCTCAGGGATAATGAGTTATATCATGAAATATGTACATGTTGTTGAACAAATTCTTGTTTTCAGATGAGGCTGTCCAAAGTGCTTTTACCTCACATAGCTTATGAGGTATAGCCACATCACATCTTATTGATTCCTTTCCCTTAATGAAAATTTCTTGAATTTTTCTTTTTTCTTTTTTTTCTGCTTTCTTACTGATACTGCTTTCATAGTGGCTTCTTTCACTTGGCACTTGGAATTCAATCTGACTTTCTGTCCTGGTTAGTTTTTTGTTTTGTTTTTAGTCTGGGAAGAGGGACCACAATTGAGAAAATGCCTCTATTAAGTCTGTAGAGCATTTTCCTGATTGATGTGGATGGGCCCAGCCCCCAGCTGTGGTGTATTCCTGCGCAGCTAGCTGTTCCTGAAGCTGATAGAAAGCAAGCTCAACAAGCCACAGGGAGCAAGTAGTAAGTAGTGTTCCTCCGTATCCTCTGTTTCAGTTCCTGCCCCGGGGTCCTGTTTGAATTCCTGTCCTGACTTCCCATCAGGATGGACTGTGATCAGAATGTGTAAGCCAGCTAAACCCTTTCCTTCCTCGTGGAGTCAGAGGTGCTTTTGTTGTCATGTTTTGTTTGTTTGTTGTCTTTTGTTTTGTCTTGTTTGGAGACAGGGTCTCACTATGTAGTTCTGGCTCTCTTGGCACTCACGACGTAGATCAGACTGACTTCCCAGAGATCTCCCTGTCTCTGCCTCTCAAGTGCTGGGATTAATGGTGTGTACCACTACATTTAGCGTGGTCATGGTGTTTTATCAAAGAAATGGGGAAACAAACTACAATGCCTTCTAAACGGCCTCCCTACATTCAGTCTTAACCTCTTGAGTTTGTTCTCTTAGAAGGGGCATCTCAACATTGTTTTTCAACTGCAGAATCCCATAAGAACTACCTTAGCTGCTTTTGCCCTTCAGATAAACTCATAATCTTTAGCTTGGTTGACTTGACCCTGGAGAATATGCTTATGTCTCTACAGGTAGTCTAACGAGCCTTTGCCAGTGATGTCTTTATTCAGATCGCTTAGGTCGTTTTTCAGTTCTTTGAGTTCACCGTTTTCTTTTGTCTCTGGAAATTTAAGTATGTTCAATTACCTACCATATTTTGTCTCTTCTTATTTAATGTCTTCACATATTTCAGGACACTGCTCGAATAACAGTTTTTCAAAGGTTTCTTAAATTCAACAGTCCTGGTACATGTTTTCATGGCACACCTCCTATTTGTTGGGCTTATAGTTATTTCTTTGTGTTTGTCCTTCCTAATGTGGACATTGTATTTAACTTACACAGAGACTTAACACATAGTTGGACTTTTACGACTACATGAGTAATTTCCCAAAGCCTGTCAAGGTCTGGGGAAATGGTGGGAAAAAGTGAAAGGGTGAGTTTGAGATTATAATAAACAATAACCTGAGTAAAAATAATAATTTCTACTGTTTAAAAGGAGTATTTTTATTTTGTGTGGGAGAGTTGTTTTGCCTGTAAGTCTGCACACCAGATGCTTGCAGTCCCCATAGAGGCCAGAAGAGGGCACTGGATCCCCTAGAGCTGGAGCTACATATGGTTGTGAACCATCTATCTCATAAGTTCTGGGAGCTGAACCCAGGTCCTCTGCAAGACTAATAAGTGCTCTTAACCCGTGAGCCACCTCTCTTGCCGTGATTGCTGCCTTGTACAGAGCAGGCCCTGTGTGAACAGGCAGTGTGCCAGAGCAGGCCCTTTGAGAACAGGCGGTACGCTAAGTGTTGGCGCAATACTTTGGTCTAGTTGATAGCATTCCATTTTACAAATTAAAAATGTGAGTTTCTGGGAAACGAAGGAAGAGACTCCAAGTTAAAACAAATTAAAAGTGAAAAAGCAAGGTCTGAATCCATGTCTCCCTGGCTTACAAGTTCGCTGCTTAGTAAGGACAGTCAGAAGTACAATGACATCACAATGGTACGTCAACTCTTGGAGGAGTACAAACCGAGATATGTTACATTTTAATTGGACTTCGTTTCAGTTGCAGTCTTTAAAGTACTGTTGATGTTGAACATAGTACCACACATCTGTAATCCTGTCACTGCAAAGGCAGAGGTAGAGGGATCTCAAGTTCCAGACCAACCTGAGATGGTAAGACACCATCTTACAAACTTGTTCACAAAACAATTAAGGTTTTAAAACCTCCTTTGTAGGCCAGGCAGTGGCGGCGCATGCCTTTAATCCCAGCACTCTGGGAGGCCGAGGCAGGTGGATCTCTGAGTTCAAGGCCAGCCTGATCTACAGAGCAAGTTCCAGGGCAGCCAGGGCTATACAAAGAAACTGTCTCAAAACAACAACAAAACCTCATTTGTAATCGAACAGGCCCCATGTCAGTACCAACTGAATGAAGCTAGTATTCTTCTGGTTTTTCTTTTTTGAAACTGAAACTGAATCCTATGCTGGCCCGGACCTCACTACCTGGCTGAGCCGACCTTCATCATGCAGTGGTCCTCCTGCGTTCAGCCTTCTGGAGCTGGGATCGACTTCGGCTCAGTTGGCTTTTTATTTGTCTTTCATGTGTTCAAATGGCTTCAATGGTAGGATCTGCAGTTTTCTAACTTTGCACGCCACTTTCTTTTTCTAAATATTTATTTGTATTTATGTATATGGGGGTGTGCCTGCATATCTGTATGTGCACCACATGTATTAAGGAGGCCAGAAAAGGATGTCGGGTACTCTGGAATTAGAGCTATAAATCCCACCCAGTGTGGGTGCTGGGAACCAAACCCCAGTCCTTTTCAAGAGCACCATGTGCTCTTACCCGCTAAGCCCCATGCACACCCCTTTCTTTTTAAAAAATTGTACGTATGTGCGCTTTTCCCCATACATGCCTGGTGCTGAACAGGACAGAGGAGGGTATGGAATTCCCAAGAAATAGGTTTGCAGACAGTTGGGAGCTGCCATGTGGGTGCTGGCAGTCAAACCCAGGGCAGGTCTTCTGGAAGAGCAGCAGTGCTCTAACCACTGAGCCATCTCTCTAACTCCTTGCACAAAACTTTCTTGATGGCTTTTCACACGGACACTTAAGACACTGAATGCCATTATAATATTTGAAGAGTTCCTAGTTA